TGTACTGCTATTGTAGGACCATATTGGAGGCATGAAACGTTATAAACGTTTTTTCAAGCATATCATAGTTAGTGCTGGTATCTCTATAGAGTTTCAATTTAGAAGTAATTCTGAACATCATAGAATTATATTCAGAAATAGACTTAAAGTCTTGGAGCCTCAGATGAACCCAATCATATTGTGCTTGTGGAAGAGTGACCAATTTTAAGTTGTCATATCTTTCCTTTAAGCCATTCCACAAAACAAGTGGATCTTTGACTGTGAGATATTCTATTTTCAACCCTTCATCAAGGTGATGTCGCAAGAAAATCAAGGCCTTAGTACAGTCTTGGATGGATGCTTTATTTTTGTCTTTAATGGCGTCTCCAAGACACATTACATCTAAATGGATTTCAGCATCCAACACCCATGTCATATAGTTCTTGCCCGAAATTTCAAGGGCAACAAACTTTCTTTTCATAATATCAGTCATAATTAAAAGAGGAGAAAAGTTATACCTTAGTCTTCTCAAGAGCTTCTTGAGACGGTAGAGTCTCGTGCTGATAACGTTTGATGAAAACAATAAAAGAAGAAGAACAATATTGCAGAGAAAGAGAGTAATTCTTAATGAATTTTGGGATAATTTACAATGGGGTAAGACCCCTCTATTTATAGGGGGAAAATGACTTAGTCACAAAGTAAAACTCTCTAAAAGATAGACATTCACTCTAATTACAATTCTATTCATAACAATATAAAACTTTTTATGATCCTCTTTGTCACGACCCAGATTTTCCACCCCCGGGAGTCGTGATGGCGCATACTAGTAAAATCTAGGCAAGCCAATCATTTCAAATACTTACCTTTTTCATTTTTAATCCTTTAACAATTAGGAATTAACATTACATAAATAGCGAAATTAAAGCGAAAGAACGAAATGTAACAATTTAAATATTACCGATACAAATCCTTAAACATAAATTATCCAGAACTGGTGTCACAATTTCACAGACTGTTTAGAGTACTACAAATAAGGGTAGAAGGATAAATACAAAGTTGTTTCTGAAATACATAAAAGGAACAAAATAGGAAGATAGAAGGAGACGGCAAGGCCTGCGGACGCCTGCAGGACTATCTCGGGTCGCATGATAGAGTGAAGCAGCAATCTCACTGAGGTCCAAAAGCTGCAGCACCGGGATCTGCACACTGTGCATAGTGTAGTATCATCACCACCAACCCCATATGTTGGTAAGTGCCTAGCCTAACCTCGACGAAGTAGTGACGAGGCTAGGACAAAACTACCAAATAAACTTGTGCAGTTAAATCATATACAACTGAAAATAAAGGCAGAAATATACAGTTAAAAATAGGAGGGGGAAACATGCTGTGGAGAACATCAAGTAATAACAGAGAAACAACAGATAAATATAAGGAACACCAAAGTTCAATTATCAACAAGGATCAGAAATCAAAGACAAGTGCTTTTACCTCACATAATCATGGCACAGAATTATCCTTCGTGCATTATCACTCATATCATGGCACGACATTGTACATCGTGCAACACGACATCACCCTTCGTGCTTTTACCTCACATAATCATGGCACAGAATTATCCTTCGTGCATTATCACTCATATCATGGCACGACATTGTACATCGTGCAACACGACATCACCCTTCGTGCTTTTACCTCACAATATTGGCACGTCATCACCCTTCGTACATCAACACTCTCAAAAATCACACGGCATCACCCTTTGTGCTTTATACTCTTTCTCACCCAAACAACAATCACAAAGCAATTTGGGCAAGAGAATCAATAATATTTCAATAAAATTCCGTCAAGGGAACACTGACATAACAACAATATCCCAGCAAGGGAAACAATATCATAAATAATAACATCCTGGTAAGGGAGATAATATCAAAAGCAATAACATCCCGGCAAGGGAGACAATATCATAAACATCTTCTCTTTTCCACATTTACTTCACAACACAATTTTCAACTTGAGTCAACGCTCTACAATGTCCAATTACCAATAATACCTCCACAAGCCTTGTTCAACAATAGAAATCATTTCATAAAGCATGAACAATACGAAACAGAGTCACATTAATCATAGTATAAGACTCACGGCATGCTTGACACCAACGTATAGATACTCGTCACCATGCCTATACATCGTACTCAACAATTAACACATATCAAATAAGACACAACTCCTAATCCCTCAAGCTAAGGTTAGGCCAAACACTTATCTCGATGCCACGAATACAATTCAAGCCCCAACTACCGCTTTACCTCTTGTTTCCACCACCAATTCGCTTGTATCTAGCCACAATTTACTTAACGATATCAATGAATGCTAAATGAATCAATTCCAATGCATGAAAATAGGTTTTATAAAGATTTTCCCAAAAAGTCAAAAATCGACTCCGGACCCACATGGTCAAAACTCGAGGGTCGAACCAAAACCCGATTACCTATTTACCCACGAACCCAAATATATAATTTGTTTTGAATCGGACCTCAAATCGAGGTCCAAATTCCCAAAAATTAAATATCCTAAGTTCTACCCAAAACACCCACTTTCCCCAATGAAAATCCTTGATTTTGAGTTGAAATCATGTGAAAAGATGTTAGAGATTAAAGAAAATGAGTTAGAAATGACTTACAATCGATTTGGAGAAGAACGTTTCTTTAGGAAATCGCCCAAGAGAGTTTAGGTTTTGAGAAAGTTTGAAAAATGAAGAATTTTCGTCTAAGTTATGATTTACACAGGTGCAGATATCACATTTGCAATGAGATGTTCGCAAATGCAAACTCGCAATTGCGGCCAAAGCTTCGCAATTGCGAAGGATGACCTATGTTTGTTTTCTTCGCAAATGCGAACAATGTTCGCAATTGCGGTGCCTGTCAAGGTCGCATTTGCGACATAAGCTTCGCAAATGCGAAGGTTCCCTATCCAGCCCAGTCTTCGCAAATGCGATGGGCTTGCACAAATGCGAGCCAGACAATTGCGAAGCCTGCAGATCTGCAATATACCAGCAGTTTTCCTAAGTCAAATTTCACTCCGTGGCCTATCCAAAACTCACCCGAGCCCTTGGGGCTCCAAACCAAACATGCACCCTAACCTAAAAACACCACGGGCTTGCTCGTGCAATCAAATCATCAAAATAATATCAACAACTATGAATTAAACCTCAAATTCATGAAATCACTCAAGAACACCAAAATTTTCAATTTCTCAACTTTAAGTCCGTTTTATACCAAACCAATTCCGATCTTTACCAAACTTTATAGATTCAACCTAATTATTGTTTCAAACTTGTACGGGGCTCCAAAACCAAAAAATACAGACCCAATATCATTAATTTCAAATATCTTTTCATTCCCAAAAACTCTTATACTTTCCAGAAAATAATTTTCTTTAAAAATTTATTTCTCGAACTTGGGACCTCGGAATTCGATTCCGGGTATATGCCCAAGTCCCAAATTTTACTACGGACCCTACGAGACCGTTGGATCACGGGTTCGGGTCCGTTTACCAAGAATGTTGACCAAAGTCAACTTTATTCAATTTTAAAAGCAAATTTCCTTATTTTACTTAGTTTTCACATAAAAATTTTCCGAAAACGCGCCTGGACTGTGCACGCAAATCGAGGTGAGACAAAAAGAAATTTTTAAGGCCTCGGAATACAGAATCGACTTGTAAAACAAGTGATGACCTTTTAGGTCATCACACTCTTATCTAAAATTTTTTGTTTTATTTATTTTTGTCCCTTTTCCCCTACCGAACATGCTAGACTTCATTTAATTCTCCATAGTATACAATGTGTGTTAAAGTCGGTGTTTTAAAAGGCTTTATTGGAATTCGCTTCGGGGCTCATTCCATGGTGGAACACTATCAAAATGTATTGAGGCTCACGAATGGAGCTTACTTCTGTGACACTTACGTCTCAAACGCCCGACTGTATGCCTGAAACATGTCTAGTGCTTACGGCTCGGGGCTCGCGTAATAGTTCCTAACGCAAATCATACGTCAAAATCTCTAATTAATACTACTGCCCCTCAATTTTTTTAATAAATGAATAATTAATGTTCTATTCATGTATAGAAATATGAAAATTGAGAGTAACTCAAAATAATGAACTATAGTATTGCATATTTACTAATTGAGAATATCGTGAGGGTGAACATCATTTGAATATCCGAAATTACATCTTCATTTAATTGGTCTTCATATCTTAGTTCAACGTCTCTCAAAATTATCAAACTTTTATTATTTTTCTATTTAAAAATAATGTTATATTCTCATAAGGAATAGTATTTTAAACTATGGTATTGGTGAAATTTATTAATTATTAAATTTTAGAGAGATAAATTGTGTAGTTTGATTAATAGTTTTTAAAATATTATGTTTTTTAATCATTTTAAAATAAGACGTTATAGTTGACTTTTATCTCGTAGTAACTCTAAAAATATTTTACGAGTTTTTAATTACTTTTATTTTCTCAAATCTTTAATGTACTTAATATATAATATAGTTATTATGCTATTTTATTAATTTATTAATTAAAAAAATTAAAGATTACGCTCTGTGTCTTGGGGCTTACGCTTCGCCCTGTATTAAGTAAAACGTTATGCCTCACGCCCATGCCCTTTAAAACATTGCTTGAAGTATATACATATGTGCAATTATATACAATATATTTATTTATGGCATTAGCTTATACTGATTAGCAAGATATTCAATATTTTTGGTGCCATAGTAATTTTTATGAAAATTTGACGCTAAATTAACAAAATAAGTGGTAAAACTATAGCTATATGCTCAATTTTTTCGAATGAGGTCAAATATGTGTGTGTACATATATTTCTATCTTGTACTATATATCTACTAGTATATAGAAGTTGGTCGACCAAGGGCAAAATTGCCATTTTATTTTATTTTTCCTATTTCTATTTCTATTTCTATCAAGGGCAAATCTCTTATTTAGTTCCCCAAAGTAATAATAATGTGGTTCTAACACATACCGACACAATTTTTCTCTTATGAGAATAAGAAACCCTCGGTTGTTTCATTTGATTTCTCTTCGTGGTCTTTCAAGTTCAGGTAATCTTTTCTCTCAATTTTTGCTTTAATCTTCTTCCAATTCTTTTCAAATTTCTCAATTTCATGGCTGAAATTCATTGTTGTTTTTCTTCTATGTTCTTGTTCATCTGTTCATCTCCTTCCTTTTGTTTCTCTCTTTCATTATTAAAATAAAATGTTTCTTTTGCATAATCTCTTTATTTTTCTTCAGATTTTCAAAGACTACTTTTTTTCCAGTTCTTTACATCTTCTCGGCTGGGCTGTTCTAATTTCAGGTATGAGTTGTCTCAGTTTTTGCCCACTTCTAATTTCTCTTCATACTTCCAAATTTCATTGCTGGAATTCGTGGCTGATGTCTTTAATAGAGAAAGAGGTAGAGTTTCGGAAGCTTTGCTATACGTAAAATGTAGTTGGGATATTGGGGTAGAAACGATGAACAAAAAGATTATAGTAGTAATTTCGTTTGCTTTTGACTTCTTTTTGAATTTCAATTTTTCGTTTCTATTGATTAGAAAGGTAATTTTCTGTTTCCACCATCTCCCTCCAATTCTTCCATGCACTTTTCTCTGTTACTATCTTTAATAAAAGCTTCTATCAATTGATCCAAAATTTTGTAATTGTAGATGAGCATGTTTTTGAAATATTCTGCTTCTTATGATCACATTAGTTCTTTTGAAATGAGTGCACTTTAATTGATGTTACTTCAGTATTATTTGACCAAAGAGGAATCGTCTAGGTGTAAAGAGGAGTCAATGTTGCTTCATCTCCTTTTTTTCACACCATAAGAAAGAAATTTGGGTTGGTAATGCATCTCCATGATCAACAAGATACACCAGCCTCAGAATGTTTTGCTTTCAATCTTGCAGATTTTCTGATGGAGCTTACTCTAAGTGTCAGTTGAGAACTCCGATGGAGCTTACTTTAAGTCTCGGTTGGAAACTCTGATTGTATGCATTCACACAGTCATTGAAGTATTTGCAGTTACATGTAAGTTTGAATTTTACCTCATCAAAATTGATGTTTTCTTCAAGAAACATAACCAAGGAAGTTTTCATTGAAAACTTTGTGCATTACTTAATTAGTTTAACTATTCAGCAAACAATTTGGCTGTTATTGTGAATTTTTGGGTGCTGAGTGAATCATTGATTACAGTTTCTGGGTTGGTGATCTCTTCTGATATGATAAATTTATGATATGGGTAACAAAGTTATTCACCTTTTTTCTTGCCACATTTGTGACAGATTATTTTAAACTGGTATTATTATGAAGATTTGCCAAGAGCATTAAATTGAATCTCTTATTGCTTTTCAGGAAAGAATATCAGAGTGAGAATATCATGCATGCCTATCATTTCCTTGAAATTGACTTCTAAGGTATGTATCGCGTTTTTACAACCAATATGAATGGATCTTTGACTTTTATTATTTTAAGGTATTGCGAATTTAATTTTACGCAAATAATTGTGGAAAAAAAAGAATCTACCTAATAATCCTTTGTTTCTATATTTTTGAATCTACCTAATTTAATTATGATTGTTATCGTAAAAATATTTTTGAAAAATTAATTGTATTTGATTGGATAGGATTATTAAAGAAAGCGAAAACTGAAATGCGACCTATCAGTTAGATGAACTTTTAATCAAAATGATAACTTTTAATCTCATGTGCCACACCGGTAAAAATTTGCATGCAACTTCAACTGGATTGACTATTAGCATCTTTACTTACCTACTACACCAGATTTTTGACCATATTATGTTGCATATTTGGCAGGACCTACCAACTATCCCATCAAATGTTTGTTGCAGTTGATATGTCTTTTGGAGGAAGAGAGAAGACAAATCAAACTCCAGCTAATGCAACAAGAAGTTCTCCGTTATTCAGATCTCAAAAAGACATGGGAGCTAACTGGTTGAAGGAATTACAGAGAGCTGCTACTTGAACTGCTTTATAAAGTCTACTTGATGGTTTTTACATAGAGCCTGATTGAAATTTGTAAGTTATTAAATCCTTTCAGGTTTAATGTATTCATGAGGGGAGTTCTCATTAAATACTTAGATATACTTCGTCTCTTGCCCAAATTGAACGCCATTTTTATCATCTTCCTAATTTGAACTTTTGATCTCTCCTTAAATTTGCTGCATCCTTTTCATGTGCATGATGGCTTTGTTTTCTATCAAACTTCCAACACCAGGTCCTATGAAATAAGAGTTGATAGGACTGCTTCTACAGACGATGATAAATCGTGATAGGTAATCTAGGCACCATGTTGGTTCTATTATCTTTTAAATGACTTGTGTCTCCACCCTTTTCTATACTGATTAACATGGCAAGTTATGTTTATTCAAGGGACCATTCCTTTTTTTTTTCTTTGGTTGCTCAATGCTGGTAATTGGTTTGTTATAAAGCTTTTGATAGTTCGTCTTCTTACGTACTTCCTAGATAAATGAATAGTATAGCCTTGAGGAATACAATGCTCTTCCCTCATATGTATCTCTAATTCATTTTTTAAAAGAAAAAACAGTATTAGATATGCATTTGGAAGGAAGAGAATTTGTTCTTCCAGATGTATTTCTAAGGGGATTTGCCATTTTGAATTATCGCTCTCAGTTAATTTGAATTCTACTTGAGCTTGCATTACTCCTTGGGACTAGCATCTTATGTTTATTAGTACATAGATTTGCTACTACTTTAGAATGTAATTTGCATTAAAGATTAAAAGGTGACGATTGTTCTCTAATCTATAACTGATTTAACATTTTTTAGCTCCTCATAGTTGAGGGCGCTAAAATATTCCATATTAAAGCTCCTGAGTTATGCTTGTCAAAATCTTGTACCGGATGGAAATGCTTTGACCATTAGTGGTAAAAAGCCTTTTGTATTTGTTCATACAAGCCTTGTGAGCTGTTAACTCAAAAGAACTTGCTGGTCTGGATTATGTCCTTAAGTTAGACGAACTTTCAAATGTACTGTTTGTGTTGCTATCTGCTCCTTGGGGTTCTGATATGCATTATTAAAGAGACGATGGATATCTATTGATGGGCTCCCAGACCTCATTAGTGGGATTATACTGGGTGGTTGTTGTTGTAGTATTACAAATGATTATATCCATTATCAGTTAGAATATCTACTCACGGGCTGGATTTAGAATTAGACGTAGGAAAAACAAAGGAAGTGTACACAACAGTGTCATTAATAAAGTCTCGATAAGCTGATGATGTGGCATGCGTAGCTAAATCCATGATTCAACACGCCGCTCCTGCCCATCACGGTCAAATGCTGTATAAAAAAGCAAAAGAGGTGTTTTCAGTAAATTGTTACTTACTAACAACAAAAAGTATTCACCTTAGAGATAGAGAAATTTAAGGTTGAAATGTATCAAACTACAAATTCAGCAAAAAGCACAAAAAGATAGAAATATACAAAACAACTAATTATATTGAGTCTGTTATACAAGTAGATGAGTTTGAATCTCAATTTGTGTTAGTTTAGTCAAATTATGACTTAGCACAAAAAACATATAATATTGGATCCGAGACTCTTTCTTCACATAAACAGGTCCATAAGACAGCTTTGTCTAAGGACAGCATGTCAAAGTATATTAGCTTTACTATAGAAGCTTTTTTCCTTCATTCGACCAAGTACAATTTAGTTTCCCTTTTTACTGTAGCATGCTAGCAATATACATCACTTAAATAATCCAATACATATGAATAATAGCAGAATAAAACAGTCTAGCACTTTTGAAAAGCTAACCAAAGCTTGTTTTCAATTTCTATCCCTCTTAACGTGACTAACTACATTTAATCATCTGTATAGAGAAAATATTTATCCAAAAAAATGTATAAACATGAATGTAAAGATTCATAAATGACATGCTTTTATTATGGTTTCCAAAATTTTTCATCATGCATCAATGCACGTTTTCTATCAAACTTCCAATACCAGGTCCTATGAAATAAGAGTTGATAGGACTGCTTCTACAGACGATGATAAATCGTGACAGGTAATCTAGGCACCATGTTGGTTCTATTATCTTTTAAATGACTTGTGTCTCCACCCTTTTATATACTGATTAACATGCCAAGTTATGTTTATTCAAGGGACTATTCCTTTTTTTTTCTTTGGTTGCTCATATGCTGGTAATTGGTTTGTTATAAAGCTTTTGATAGTTCGGCTTCTTACGTTCTTCCTAGATAAATGAATAGTATAGCCTTGAGGAATACAATGCTCTTCCCTCATATGTATCTCTAATTCATTTTTTAAAAGAAAAAACAGTATTAGATATGCATTTGGAAGGAAGAGAATTTGTTCTTCCAGATGTATTTCTAAGGGGATTTGCCATTTTGAATTATCGCTCTCAGTTAATTTGAATTCTACTTGAGCTTGCATTACTCCTTGGGACTAGCATCTTATGTTTATTAGTACATAGATTTGCTACTACTTTACAATGTAATTTGCATTAAAGATTAAAAGGTGACGATTGTTCTCTAATCTATAACTGATTTAACATTTTTTAGCTCCTCATAGTTGAGGGCGCTAAAATATTCCATATTAAAGCTCCTGAGTTATGCTTGTCAAAATCTTGTACCAGATGCAAATGCTTTGACCATTAGTGGTAAAAAGCCTTTTGTATTTGTTCATACAAGCCTTGTGAGCCATTAACTCAAAAGAACTTGCTGGTCTTGATTATGTCCTTAAGTTAGACGAACTTTCAAATGTACTGTTTGTGTTACTATCTGCTCCTTGGGGTTCTGATATGCATTATTAAAGAGACGATGGATATCTATTGACGTACTGCAAAAGAATCTATGGGCTCATATATTTTTTTGGTATATGTTTGATTTGAATGCCGCCCTGTTATTACGAACATTCTGTGTTACATGGCAGAAAAACAGAGAGGTAGACATAACTGAAATAGAAAATCAAATCGTATCTACAGGTAACATCTTTTAGCCATGTCAGAAATCCAAGACTCATGGTCAGTGGGTTTTTGGATCAACTCCAGCAGGTTTTCTCAAGTTTCTACTTTTGATATGATATGTCTCATCCTTAAATTATTGTACAATGACTTCAGGATGTAGCTTCTCCAGGATAGTCTGGATAAACAAGCATGCAAGGAATAGTATTGCTTCTTTTGTTTCTATATGTTATAGAAGGGAGCAAATTTTTCTATGCTTGAATTCACATGTTATGAAATTGCTTCTTTTGTTTCTATATGTTAAATTGGCTATTTAGTGATGGGACCGTGCTTCACTTCTGTGCCTGTATATTACTAGGCTTTCTCTTCAAGGATTTATTGTTATTTACACGTCTCACTTATACATCTCAGGTAGATGTGTTAAAATTTAACACACTGGCGCATGTCTCGATCCTAATTTTGTTGGAGTAATTTGAAAATGGAACTCTTTTGGAGAAGGCACGTATGAACAAGCTGAGACAAATGTCATTTGTACGGTTATCTTAGGGAATGTGATTTGAAGATGTGAGCAAAATTCACTGTTCTTAAATTCACAGATTGTGAAATTGTATTATATATTCGGATGTAATATGTAGTCTTCTATGTCATACTCTAAAAATTAGAACTGTGCTTATGTGTGTGGTATTACGGTTGTTCTAAAACATTTATTGCTGTTTAGACTTGGATTTCAATATGTCTTAGTTGGATGCAACTAAAGGCTAACAGAAATTGTTGGGCCCATGCTTTGCACGGGCAAGAGTCATCTAGTACAATATATATAGGCCAAATACATAGACAACCTATTAAATTTGGTCCAATTTTTCATTTTGACACTTTTAACTTAGCCTTGTTCCATTTTGGCCTTCCAACCCCATTTCTTTTGTTCCACGGGAGCGGGGCAGAAAAAATGAAAATAATAATAATTTGAAATTACAAAAAAAAATAAAAATTTNAAAGTGGAACAAAAGAAATGAGGTTGGAGGGCCAAAATGGAATAAGGCTGAGTTAAAGTGTCAAAATGAAAAATTGAGCCAAGTTTAATGGTCCGTATATGTATTTGGCCATATATATATATCGCAGTTTAATGAATTATCCTCCCGTATGAGCATATGTATATATATAACAAGAACGAGTGATACAAATAAAATTTAACAGGTCATCGTAAAATTACCAAAATAAGCACTGAATTGTAATTAAAAGATTGTTCAATCTTTACTTTGAATTAGACTTGACTTTTTGGGACTTCATACATGAGTTGAATGCGAATTAGACAGAAAAAATTGCAAATTTCATTCATTTTATCCTCCAATTTTTTTTCTTCGACCAAATTGTCAATGTAAGACAAGTTTTGTGGCTCTTCGTGTCTTTCATATTTTACCGTACCACTTCACAACTTATCTTGTCTACGTGGGAGGTTGTGTGGAGCATTTTGGAAGCTCCAATGGCTTCTTCTTCATATTCAAGTCTCTCATGGTGTCCTACTCCAATACCCAAACCATCGTCCACAATTCTCTTATCATCATCTCTTTTTCTCACAAATGCGCGTGGGTTTACTGGAATTTCACTCCAAAAATCCATTTCCAGCTCAAGAGCCCAAGCCGAGTTTGACAAATTGCAAGGCCAAGATAATCTTGAACAAGAACTCACAGAGCCAGCTCTTTTAGACCCGTTGAATATAATGACAAGAATGCGAAGGAAAACATTTAGTCTAGTAGCTCAGCTCATAGGTTCAAAAGTTAGTTACAATTGGTTAAAAGTTAGTTAAGTTAGTTACAAGTTAGTTATATGGTTATGACTTGTGGAGATTTTATTCTTAGAGAAGAAGGAGATGATGATCTGCTTCTATATAAACATGTGGATGTATACAGAAATGAATTAATGAAGAAAATGCTTCTCTTTGTTCATTCTCTTCTCTGTTCCTCATACCTTCTCTTCTCCTTCTCTTCATCTCCTCAAACTAATGAATTCTTCTATCTGTGATCTTCATTTCTTCTTGTTAATTACTTCTAATCATATTGTTCTTATGATGTACATTTGAATTTCTACATGGTATCATAGCAATAGAATTCAATCACTTTCGTGAATCAAAAGTTCTTGCTTTTGTCAATTCAAATCTGTCAAAAATCTTTCCTCAAATCTTGAAGAAGTATGAGAATCTGTATTCTGACAATCTGTATTGAAACAAGCTTTGTTGGTTAATATCAATCATCTGAAGATATGACAATCAATAATTCTGAGAATCTGGGAACTATGACTGGTACTTCATCATCTGTTCTTCAAGTTGATGCAAATAGAACTCAATCTGCACCAGGGGCCATACCAATCATGGATCATAATCATCCTCTATATCAACACTCGATTGATGTAAGTGGCATTTCTCTCATCTCCTTACAATTAACTGGTTCAGAGAATTATTCTTTATGGAGAAAATATATGAGAATAACCATGATAGGAAGAAACAAGTTGGGACTTGTTGATGGCTCTTGGAAGAAAGAAAGTTTTGGAGAATAATTCTAGTACCAGTGGGAGAGGTGTAATGCTGTAGTCCAATCTTAGATAACAAACATTGTGTCTAGTAATTTGTTAGGGGGGAATGTTGTATGCATATAATGCTCAAGATATTTGGAAAGATCTGAAAGAAAGATTCAATAAGGTGGATGGATCAAGATCATTTAGCCTACATCAAGAAATTGTAAGACTAACTCAAGAAACAATATCTGTGGCAACTTACTTCACAAAGCTGGAGGAGATTTGGGTTAAATTAGAGGCACTAGTGCCACTACCAGGCTGCAAATGTGATAAGTCAAGGGAATTTGTAGCCTATCTTCAAAGATAGAAATTATATCAGTTTCTAATGGGGTTGAATGATAACTATCTACAAGCTAGAAGTCAGATACTTCTGATGACACCACTACTCTCAGTAAACCAAGCATATGCTATGATAATCAACGATGAGTCACAAAAGGTTATGGGAACAATCTCCAGCTCAGTTGGTCTATTGGGTACGACGCCTACTCTTGATCCTACTGCTATGTACTCTAAGACAGGATATCAAGGTCAGAAGTTCAGAAAAACAAACAACTTGTATTGCGATCACTGCAAGATGAGAAATCACACTAGAGAAAATTGTTATAAACTGAAAGATTATCTTCAAGAATCCAAATTCAAAAGTAAGGGAGGACCAAGTGGTTCATCTGCTGCTTACAATGTGTTCTTAGAAGAAGCTAGTGATCAGTTGACATGACTTGATAATCAAGAGAACATAAAGCCAACAGAATACACTATATAGACGCACCTGCACAAATGGTTCAAATGAATCAGCTCCCAAGATAAATAACTCAGACTGGAGCATGTGCTTTCACTCAGTCTCAATATGAACAAATTGTGCAACTACTTAATCAAAGTCAGCAGCAAAGTGTAAATTCCTATACTACTTCCTCAGCCAATGTAGCAGGTAAAGAAGCAGGTATTAGCAACAGTAAGGCAATGCTAGTGTCAAAAATCCTTAGAAACTTGATTATTGATACTGGTGCCACAAACCATATGGTATATGATATAGGTATGTTAAACAAAACATCTCTATTAAAAAGTACAAATTCAAAAAAATGTGCAATTACCAAATGGTGATGTATCACAAGTAACACACATTGGCTCTAGCACAATTTCTGATAACAATACTCTAACTAATGTATTTCTACTGCCTCAGTTCAAGTATAACCTTATGCCAATCTCACATGCAATAAAACAATTAAACTATGCAGTTGCCTTTTATCCTAACTTTTATGTGTTTCAGAATCTTTGCAATGACAAGATGAAAGAGATTGGCAAGGAGAGTGAAGGCCGATACCTACTATTAAACAAGTTAACAGGAAAACTTGGAGAAACCAGTCTAAAAGTGCATCAAGTTACTGCTGTTAGTGAAGATGAAATAAAACTGTGGCATATGAGATTTGGCCATGTATCTAGTACTACCTTAAATAAAATACTACCTGCTAATAATAAGGTTATAGCAGAAACTATTAAGAAGTGTAGTATATGTTCATGTGCTAAACAATGTAGACTACCTTTCCCTACTAGATCAAGTAAAAGTTTTGCTAAATTTGATCTTTTTCTAATGTGTACGAGGACCTTACAAAATTCAAACCTTTGATGGAAACAAATATTTTCTAACCATAGTAGATGATTTCACTAGAATAACATGGGTCTATTTGTTAAAACTGAAATAAGATGCCAGTACTGTTATTTTATTCTTTCTAAAATATGTTCAAACTCAATTTAATGTCATGGTTAAAGTTGTTAGATATGACAATAGTACTGAGTTCCTAAATGATGTGTATAACTGTCACGATCCCGATTCGTCCTCCGTGAACCATCGTGATGACACTTAGTCTCTACGACTAAGTAAGCCTATGCGGAAGATAAACTAAATTTGCGGAAGAAAATAATTTAAAACAGAAATAGAGTAATAAAACAGCTTTAAAAGTGCCATTCGACATACATAATATTAACTCTTAAAACCAATACATTTTTCCAAAACCCGAAAACCCATGAATCACAAGCTAAGAGATACATAAGAAGCTCTAACTCCAGAAATGTTTAACCAAAAGGGGAATACTGAAGGGCTATACTATTATAGAAAGATAGAAAGGGATTCCTCGGTCTGCGGACGCGACAGATATACTTCGAAGTCTCTACAGAAGCGCCTCGCCTCAAGGATGATAAGATAGAGTGAAAGTACCTGGATCTGCACATGAAAAACATGCGCAGAAGGGGTATGAGTACACCACAGCGGTACTGAGTAAGTGCCAAGCCTAACCTCGGTCGGGTAATAACGAGGAAGGTCAGGGCCCTACTGAGGTTAAATAAAATACAAAGTATAACAGTATAGAACAAGACAATATAACTAAGTGCAATAGTAAGAAATAACATAGAATAGAAAGAACAACAACTAGAACAAATGCAAAATAATCACCAAAGGAACACGGCTCAACACAGAGATAACAACTGGGGATCTACCAGGATATCGTCCTGTAGCCCCCAAATGCAAATGTCCAGTGGATCTCCCGGGTGTCGTCCCGTAGTCTAACTCATAGTGCGCAGGGATCTACCGGAATCCCGTTCCGTAGTCTCCAAATGTAAATACCCAGTACAAGGGGAATCTACCAGGTGCACTCCCGTAGTTCCATATAACTGTGCAGGTGATCCACCAGAATCCCACATCCGTAGTCCGAAATAAACAGACAAGGGGGATCTACCGGAATCCCACATCTGTAGTCCCAAATAAACAGGCAAGGGAGATCTACCAAAATCCCACATCCGTAGTCCTAATGTAAATACACAACAACAACAGGAAAAATATTCAGCAAATGTCAATTTCATATTAAGGCAAACATGTAATTCTAGTCTAGCATGCTGCAAAGAATTTAAGTAAAATAGTTTGAGCAAATAAAGCAATTAAATCACTTAAACATACTTTCCTAAGCTAACAACACGCTTAAAGTGCAAATAATATAAACAAGAAAGGAAACATACTAGCAATTACTTAATGAAAATCGAACTTCCAATAATTAGCACAAGTACGCACTCGCCACCTCACGTACAAGGTATTTCAATTACCAATTATACCAAATCCTAAGGGGAAGGTCCCCCACACAAGGTTAGGCAAGCCACTTACCTCGAACCAGCTCAATAA